GGGGGGGGTCCGTCCACGGTGAGCAGGTGTTAGTGGGGGGGGTCCGTCCAGTGTGAGGGGGGGTCCTGCCCTGTGTGAGCCGGTGTTAGTGTGGGGGTCTGTCCAGTGTGAGCAGGTGTTAGTGGGGGTGTGGTCCGTCCACTGTGAGCCGGGGGCAGGGCACAGAGGTCAAAGCTGAGGAAGGGTTCCCGGTAACTGCAAGGGGGTGTGGCCTCCCTGAGGCCTGTACACCCCGAGCCAGAGCACAGGGCAGGCAGGGGAGGGCAGGCTGCTCTGAGGCTCACTGTAGACAAGATCAGCCTCCTCCTACAGCCCCTCCGTCACCAACAGCAACAAAGACATTACACTGTGGTTGCCATGGCGCCCGCCCCTGCCTGTCACTTGCTGTCAGCTTCTCAGCCCCCGCCCCGCGCCCACATCCTCAGGGAATACCCCACACCTCCCCACACCTCCTGGGGAGGGGGCCACCTGGGCCTTCAGGCTCTAGTGAGCAGGTGGGAATGGGGTGGGGCTGGGGTGGGCTGTCAGACGCTGCAGGGACACAGGGAGGGGCAGCAGGGCGGACTGGGTGTTAGGGGAGAAGGTGGAGGCACTGTGACCGTCGGGCCAGCGGACACTTCAAGCTCGTTCGCTAACGTCAGCAGGGGAGGCTGGACAGGCCTGGCTCCACCAGGCTGGAGCCCGGAGAGCACGGGTGGGAGGGGACGGGGGCCTCTGCAGGGGAGGCCAGGCTCATGCAGGAGTAGGTCTGGGGGTCAGAGGCTCCACAGCAAGGGGCTGGGGGACAGACCGCCGGCCACTGTCTTCGTGGCTGCGCATCCCGCCAGGGGCTCACCAAGATGTAGAGCGCTCCCTCCGAGCTCTTCTCGTACTCCTTGATGGTGGAGAAGACCGACAGCACGAGGCAGGAGAAGACCAGCAGGAACCTGGGGCCGAGGCAGAGGGCGGTCAGCGGCGGCACAAAGGGACACAGGGGGGCCGAGCCCCGCACCCACGCCTGCAGCGCTCCCCAAGCCTGCACGCCACCACGCCCGCCGCACCCCGCCTCAACAGCCTCGGGAAGGTCCCCAGAACTCAAAGAGGGAGCGCCGGCTGCCCCGAGGACGTCCCTCGTTAAGTCTGTGTCTTCTTCTTCCCTTTGCACACAGTCGTCCCTTTGTGGGCTCAGGAACAGAACACGCCTGTCTTCCAATTAGCATGGTGCTGCACGAACACCCTCCCAGGGCCCTGCGCCAGACCTGGGTCCTGCCAGGGTGGGTGCACAGAAGGCCCGTCAGTCCCCGAAAAGGGAAGCTGGAAGGCACCGTGCAGCCAACACAGACGCCAAGGCCCAGTCCGACACAGCAGCCAGGGCGTCCGGCCGAGGGGGACAGTGTGAGGCTGGGGTCTCGGGGAGCAGAGCGCCCGAGGCCGAGGGCCGGGTCCAGGGCTCCTGAGGGGCACAAAGCACGTGGTGTGGGGAGCTAGACAGGGGCCCACACACCACTCTCCTCCTGGGTGTTACCGCCACCCAGGAGTCGAGACCACCAGGCTCCCAGGTGGCAGGCGGCAGCGGCTGCATGGTCCGGCCAAAGCCCGGCTGCTCAGGTGCTAACGTGGGCCTGGCCCCACCCGGTCCGCTGGGGTCCTGCTGGGGCACTAGCCAGGCTGCACCAGCAGCTCTGAGCCTCAGCCGGGTCCTGGCGCACCTCGGGCAGCCCTGCCCCGTGCGCCCCGAAGACCCTCCCTGCGAGCACGGCTGGGAAGGGGGTCCCGCGCACACTCAGCTCCGGCGCAGAGGCGCTGACAGATAATGAAGGAGAAGCCAGAGCCCGCCGCACAGACGGACGCGAGCAAGGAAGCAGTCACATTTCAAAACCACAATTAATTTCCTTTCATCAATTTATTCAATTAAGTGAGCCCTGGAAAGAAACGCCCAGATATCCCATGTGCTTTATGTATATATTTGTAATTCTCTGCCTGGTGGTATTTTCTCCCAACTCAGTCGGTGGGGAAGTTGCACCCATGCAGGGTGGATCTGCCCGGCACAGAGGACGCGGAGCTTCCAGGTTCTGGGTCAGGACCCTGGAGTCCTGGGTAATGGCAGGGGCTGAACGTACCACCCACAGCAGGAAGGGCACCCAACCCAGCCTGGCTCAGTGCAGAGATGCAGGGACCCCAGGGCAGACGTACAATCTGGCAGGCTTCCCTGAGGAGGTGTCCATGAAGGTGAAGAGGAGTGGGTGGGGCCGAGAGGGGAGAAGGGAAGAGCACATGGGGTGGCCGAGAGACAGGGAAGACGCGTGTTCCGGGACTCGGCAGAGGGCAAGTCTGACCAGAAGAGAGAATGGGGCAGGGGGAGGCTGATGCCACTGTCACCCGTGCAGGGGAGGTCGGACTCCATGCTCAGACTCACGCTGTAAGAAAACGTTCCCCTGAAGTGAAAAAGCGAAAGCCCAAGTCCCAAGGCCCTGTCAGCCCTGCTTCCCATGGGCAGCTCTGACTGGCATCTTGGAACATTCCGGAATGGCCTGGCTGTGCTCTGTGGATGGGCTGCCCGGCCCAGCAGGCCATGGCTGGGAGGTCCAGAGCCACGGAACAACTCCGGAGAAGAAAAGCCCAAAGCCGGACACTGGGAACACTCCCGCTTGGCCAGGTGAGCGGAGCCGACCCCAACTGCCCTGCTTCTGAGGTTTTAGAACAGACGGCCACAGACGGCAGGCAGGCTGGGGGTGCACGCTAGGGAAGAGGCGGGGGGAGGAGGCAGGCAGAGCGTGAGGCCACAGCGAAGATGAGCAGATCCCCAGGGAGAGAGGGTTCCGGCCCACTGAGCCGCGCCTCCAGGCCCAGAACTAGGTCCCCCCAGATCCAGAGAGGAAGGCCTCCGAACGGCAGTGACGTCTCCCACCCCCAGCCGCACGGAGCTGAACAACGGAGAATGTTTATTTCCAGGCACCTTCCTGTCTGCAGGTGCCTTGGGGACCGCGGCCCCCCGCCAGCCCCCCGGTGACATCCACACTCATGCCCATCTTAGACATGGGGAAACTGAGGCTCGGGAAGCCAGTAGGGGGCCCGAGCACAGTGTCCTCGGTGATGCAGACACCTGAGTGGGTCCAGCCTTGGGGACCCTGGGGGAGGGACTAGCTTGGACACAGGTGCCACCCTCCTGCAGGGCAACAGGGGAGAATCACTGAAGCCCGTGGGGGTCACCTGGCTGCAGGTGTGGGGCCCTGGGCAGACCTGCAGCTTCCTGCCACCGATGCTCAGGGATCTGAAAGTGGCCATGTTTTCTGCCTTCTCTCCCGCAGACCTTTCCCTCAGTCTCTGCTCCTGACGACTATGGCAGGAAGGGACGCTTCTTCCCACTCCTGGCCCCCGGGGGAGCTGTGGGGAGAGGTGTGCGCAGGGACCACCACCAGCACCCCCGTGGGTCCCCTCGAAGCACGCCATGTGCTCAGAGTGCTGACCCCTCCAGGCCACGGAGGACCCACGCGCTAGTGAGGAGAAACTCAGATAGAAATCTTTGCTCTGCGGGCCCAGGATGCTGGTCAGCTTCCACCCGACAGGGACAGGCGAGCAGCTCTATCTGCCCCAAGGCTGGGAGCCCCCTCCCTTAGCTGCAAGGCTCCCCCGAGCCTGCTCTCTGCAGGGCCTTCTCAGCCTGGGGACTGTGCGGGATGTGGGGAAAGAACAGAGGCATCCCCAGGGCCAGGATGGGGTGGTTCGCCTGCAGCCCAAGAAGGCTTATCACCGTGAATATCCCCAGCAGCGGTTGCCAAGGAGACAAGCGTCTCCAGCAGCCAGTCGCCAGCCCCAGGTTCTGGGGGCCAGGATGGGAGGCACAAGGTGGGGGGGGTGGTGAGAAGGGCCTCAGACGGTGCTCACCTCAACAGTGAGGAAAGGGGCCACCTGGAGAGGGAGCGCCGCCTGGCACAAGGCCCTCGTCTGACGCACACCCAGCCTGGGTGCCTGCCAGCGCTGCCCGGGGCCCACGGCAAGCAGACTGTGTTCACCCAGCAGCAGGAGAGACCTCAGCCAGACGTCAAGAGGGACCTGAGCCACAGCCTGAGCTCCGAGCAGAGAGGCCGGGCAGGAGTCTGAGTGCTGGGATTCTGAGGCATGGGGCGCCAGCACAGGGCGGGGCCCAGAGCAGACAGGAGCTGACGGGAGGGACGAGGGACAGAGGGCGGTGGAGACGTGCAGGTCGGCCGGTCGTGGGGCGCACCGAGCAGGTGTGTGCACATGTGTGTTCTGCCTGCCCCTGCACTTGAGAGGGGGGCGGCCCCCACCTCCAGGGAGACACTCTTCTGCTTCCGTCTGCCCCTCCCACACCCTCGCCCCATCTGACAGCACAGAATATTTACTTTCTGGAAAAATAGGGCAGAGCCTCTGCCACCTCATTCCTGAGGTCACAGGGAGGGTGCCTCAGCAGAGGCAGGACAAAAGCCCCTGTGGCTGGGCCCACACCTTGGACACCTTTGCTGTCCCCAAAGACTAAGGCAGGGGATGGCCGGGGCTATTAATCTCATTTCCATATGTAATGAAATAAACATTTAAGAGTTCACAGCAGGGATGGGAGAAGGCCGTCAGCACACCACTGCCCCCAGCCCTGACCGGCTGCTCTCTGGAAGATGGGGAAGGGTCTCTGACATCAAGCGCCCCGCCCCCCCCGGCTAGCATTCACAGCAAGGCTACTATGTGCCAGGCACATGACTAAAGACAGAACATGCTCTCTCCCATCTGTAAGGTGGGAGAATAGAGGCCCAGGAGCAGCTCACTGCACAGAGCCTGAGCACCCTCTCCCCTGCAGAAACTACAGTACGTCTGTGCCTCCCTGGGGGCTGTGTGGCCCAGAAGCCCAGCGGGGCTCAGGCTGAGTGAGCATCAGCCAGCGTGAGGCCACAGCAGGCCCTCCAGTCCAGACTCGCCGCCCGGCCCCCGGGAGCCTCCTGCCCGCCTCACCCATTAGGACCTGGAATCTAATTTCGCCCCTAATAAACTGCTCTGCCTCCCGGACCCACTGCCACTTCCAATCCCCAGGAGTGACGGAGAGCTGGACTGCTGACGGCCGCTCCAGGCCTAAACCAGACGTGAGGGATCTCACTGTGAGATCCCGCCAGGGTTGGACAGAGGAGGAGGCCACCCTCCCGAGATCCTCTTCTGGAGCCAAGGCTCACCCGTGGGGGTACCCCCCCAGACCCCCTAGGCTAGCCCGGCCTCCCACCTGAGCCTGTTAATCCGAGGATGGAAGCTTCTCGGGAGCACCCACCTCAGCCGAAGGCCGTGGGGAGGTGCCAAGTGAACACTTGGGACCGTGCCTCACATACAGCAAGTGCTCAATACATGCCTCGTGCCTGGCAAGCCACAACCCAGAAAGCCCCAGCCCCTCGGAAGATCCAGCCTCTGGCTCGGCACCAAGGCCCCCACCTTGGCCTGCCTGTACCCCACCCCCACCCCACTCCAGCCCCTCCCACAACTGGCCCCCAGGGCCACTCCTCAGCCAGGCCTTTCACACTAATGCCCCTCCCTCTCCTAACACCCACGGCAGGAAGGTGCTCTCAGGGACTCCTTGATGCCCCCCACTGGCCAGTGACCCCAGGATGGCCAGTGTCCCTCTGAGACTTTGGCCATGGGCTCTCTCAGGACAGGGAGCTATGCAGGTCAGGAGTCCTGCATGTCTCCCTAGCCATTCACCCATCAGAAGCCCAAGTTCTCAAGGCCCCCAGGCCCCCACCAAGACCATAGGAAGTGCACTTTGCTCCCCTCTTGTCTATTTCTCAGCTTCCCCAAGCCAGCTTCCTGCCCCAGGGCCTTTGCACACACTGTTCTTACTGCCTGAAGCTCTTTTCTGCTTGCACATCCCTCATAAGGCTGCCTCTTCCTTGTCCCCAGGTTTCTGACAGGCTGCCCAGCCCTGCTATGCTGGTACCCTCCAAGCAGGGGTCCA